TTTTATGCCACAGTTCCAATGCCACTATGGTATTATTCTCGCGTGAATTTAGGTCCATTTTGCCTCATGTACTTCTCAGACCATTCTTCCTTTTTAGCTTCTTTATTTGCTCACGAAATGCCTTGTCACACTGTGTCAATAACAAACAAGGAAATAAGAAAAATAAATCCAACTTTTATTTTTCATTACTTCAAGTCAGATGTAGCGCACGTAAACCACACATCATGAGAAAAGGTGTGCGCACAGGTTGGTGTCCAGTATGATGTAATCATAAATCTGAATATAAAAACCAGAGTGCTGACTCATGTACAAAGGGATGCCTGGTGGGTGCATTCATCTTTGCGCACAAATCTATGGAAAACTCAACATTTTGCACGGCTTTTGCACTGTATTTGCATATCTGCATCTGTATTCTAAAACTGTGCCTCAACAAAGCCGATACTTAAACAACCTGAACGCCCAACCAGNCTCTGGTGATGACTAACCTGGAACTTAACCTAGGCCTATTTTATGCCACAGTTCCAATGCCACTATGGTATTATTCTCGCGTGAATTTAGATCCATTTTGCCTCATGCATTTGCATATCTGCGTCTGTATTCTAAAACTGTGCCTCAACAAAGCCGATACTTAAACAACCTGAACGCCCAACCAGTAAATGAGCGTTTCATTTGCTCTGCTCCAAGAAACACAAACGCGTGCGCGTATGCGCTGCACATGAATTTTGCCGGGATCGGAATTTATCTGTCCCCATGCGCACGACAGCAGCCGCTCCAGAGCCGTCAACTCACTTAACACTGAATGGATCGAGGGAACGACTTCATAATTTAGCGGAACTTATTCATCGAAAGAAAGCCATTAAAAGACATGCATACAAAATCGGACGAACTTGCTCGAATGTTAGGGAAACACTCGTTTTAAATAATCAGCCATGGATAATGTGCCACTGCTCTGTGTGCGCCTTATTCAAAAGACGTGCTGACATTCGCGTATGTTGTACTTGAGCGTTACATTTAGAATACATAATTCGATACCCGTTCTATCTGATATTGAATGTTATACAAGCAAGGACATAGATTTCAAATGTCTGTGCCCAAGATGGCGTCAAATTTTCTCCGCGCGGAGAATAAGAAGTTAGTGCACTAGTTTTGTATAGCTGTACATAGACGTGATACATAACCATCCATATGTCGTTTTCGTGTTTGTTTGGACGTTAATCGTTCATCGGAAGAGAGACCGGTGCAAAAGTCGTATACAATATAAATATGAGTACAAACGTTTGTAGGGAAACGGCTTCGACCTATAACCATAAATTGCACTGTACTTCAAGTTTGTTATTGTAAAGTTTGTTTTTCAGGGACAAAAGGGCATTGCCGTGAGAAAGCTTCGTGACCCCAGGTCATGAGCGACCAAGAGGAAACTAGGGCGTTGTGTGTGAGGCGTAGTTACTAGTTGTGCATAAAAAGAAGCCTACTTGTTTTAGTTGCGTGCCTAGGCATAGCATCGTTACACAAATGCACTTTTCTTTATTCTTCCCAAGTTGACAGTAATCGTTTCTGTGTATTTGACAGGAAGTGGAACTTGTGTAATTTTAGTGATTTTTCATTGGGGGTGTTAAACATTGTTAGCTACATAAACTTACCAAGAATGCCAACTGTTTACAGAATAATTTCATCCTAATGTGTAGAAGCCTCCATTTTAACACTAATGCTGTTTAAAGTGTTGTTTATCTTAGATTCTTACGCGACTTGTACAACGTACATACGTAAACGTTGTACATATTACACGTACATGCGCAGTGCCATTGAATTTGCCAATTGTTTATGTGTGCCTGACATTTTACTCACACGATGTAATTTTAACTTTATTAATGCATGTCAGTGGGATGAGTTCATTCGCATGCATGCGACGCACACTTTTAGCCTATCAGCATACGCGTGCAGTTTTTAGCCCGGCCGAAAAATCTATAAAATGCAAGCTGGCATCACATGCATAGATCGAGTGCTTTAATTTAACTCTGTTCGCCTCCAGAACAGGCCCTGTGGGAAGAAGCAAGCTGGCACCAGGAAGAAGCAGGAAGACGATGACAAACTAGAAAGAAGGGTTGTAATCCGCTCCGAGCAGAACAAAAGAGGGCGTGTTTTTATGGTACTCACCGCAAAGGCGCGCGTTTAAAATGGAGATCAGTGGCGCGTTTGACGCGGAGCACGCTGAATACGAGTAACGAATTTATTCCTTAATGTATGGTCTCTGCGTACGGGTAGAACGCGAGCAAGAACCCGCTTGGAAAACTTATTACTGCGCCTCATAAATGTTCATGAGCAAATCGGAGTGCGTCATTGGCCGATTCCACCTTGCGTCTTGGAAGTAGAAATGATACACGACCAGTTGACGTCATAGCGGTGAGTGCAGTAGTTTTTTTTGGTAGAATTGGAAAATCCCTATGGAACCCGCCGCGTAAATATGTAGTCTGTGTCATGTAATCTTTACGGAACCAGTCTCGAGTTGAATCCTTATAACTATTACAGTAAAGAACCAAAAGGTATGTCAGCACCAGACTACTGAAGCCCTGTTTCTTTCCACATCTGCACTATCATGACATGGAAATTAAGCAGCTGAGAAACAACAATGGCACCTGTGAGTACAAGTAACGTGAGATTTCTGTATGAAGTGTAGTGAAACAAATACAGCATGGTTTATTTCGCTTCGCGTCGGGAGGTAGTCAAGCTGACCTACACCTCGGGACCAGTAATTCCAACCATAGAGCTATAGCTCCATATTTCCACTACTTTCCCTCAAACCATGCTGTATTTGTATACTACCATCTGTCTTTCTTTTGCCGCTTGGGGTGCACTGCGATTCGGGGCTGGCATGGTAATCAAATAATAGCAAAACAGACAAAAAGAGGAGCAGAGGAACGAAAAGGCCTGCAGAATTGAGGATTTCGTACGAACATGACCACGCACAGACAATAGACTGGCTACCATTCTTCTTCGTTTCATGCGCATCACTTCATCACTTCCGCTGCTGTGGACACTGACCTAGGCGGTACCGAGACGTTGAAGTCGTTGCGCACATGTGCACGAACGTGTACATGTCACGCGCACACATGTAAACACACACATACACGACTGCACTTCACCCGTGACTTGCCTCTACAAGAACGTTACTCAAAAGCCTGCCCTTGCAAGAGTATCCTCTTTTTGTCAATCGTTTGACAAAGCAATCATTCCTGGCTCTAAAATTAAGCTTTATTAGGACATAAATTTTTTTAGATAAGATATGTGACGTATTTTTTCATTATACAAACTGTCTGGATAAATGGCGCGAAAATTTGATTCAAATTCAAACTTATAAAAAAAATTATCCGGCGTATTCCCAGTTTTTGAGTGAAATCGCTTAAAACAGGCTTCTAGTTTATACGAATCTAGTTTTTATAACCAGGAAAAACGTATTTTAAGAGATATTGATCAAATTTGGCAATACTCAATTTTTCTGGTGAAAAATTAAATAATTTCTAGGTTATTTAAAACCACATTTTCCTTAATTTTTAAGGTAGGGCAGAAAATCAATGTTACTGAAAAATAAAACAATCAATATTATTTGGATTTGTCATGAAAAATTTCATTTTTTCTGATCCTTGTCCTGGAAAAATCCATTAACAAATATTAAGCCTCATTTTGCAATCAGAGCGCGTGAAATCAGACATAGCCTGTTGCTATTCCCTTAAGTGCAAATCTTGCGCGCGCGCGTTTTGGTAATGAGCGCCATAAACATACGTGAATGAACGCGTGTCCGCCACAAAACAGTGCAAAATAAAAACCTTGCTAGCGCTCATTTGGGCAAATCGAAAGGCGGTCTAGTGACACAAACAGTCTTGTAGGCAGCTCTTCACACAAAATGAGCCCTCTTGAGACAGCTGACAGTAAACACGAGGTGCCGGTCTTTATGTTACCTGATCCCCACAACGTCATGCTGCTATTTCTGATTTTACATATAGATTGGATGTGGCCTTCAGGAGTTTCGAACTCTGACTCTGGATATGTCTCAAACACATGAGGCCCAAATGATTGTTTATTTGCAACCCAGTGGACTATCAGAGACAAACTTTGGGTCACGCGTGACACTGCTCTGGTGAAGTGTGCTTGCTCACTGAAATTGAGATAACAATCAAAATTGGGTTTTTCTTGGGTTCCATAAGGGCGAATACACTGAAGATTACTTGGATTGGATTAATGAGTTACAAAAGTACAAGATGTCTGACTGACAGTATAGGGGTGCACTCACGTTAATAGGCCAGAAATATGTCTTCCCAGTTCATTAATAGAAGCTATACACTCAAAATATTCTTATATTAGAGGGTCCTGAGAGCCATGGAACTGGGGAATTGAAGAATTATGGCACTGAACCTCTGGCCCGGCGTCAGGGCTTCCAATTCTGGGCAATTTGGATGCAATTGGGTCTGAAAATGACCCTATTTTAGCCGTTTTGCAGAGGGATGCATTTCCAAAATAGTTACCTTTCTGGGCAGTGGTAAATGGGACTTACGATATACTTTGCGTTGGGATAACGGCATGTTTGTTAATGTTTGATACCAGCGGCGTATTCAGCTTTTGTGGTGTCAGAGGGAAGCAAATTCAAAAGTGAATGCGGCTTCGGGCTCATTCAACATGATAATGGGGAGGAAAATAGCAAAGCCTATTATTTGACAAATCATTATACCGATTACTCACTTCCTCACCTATGAATTATTCTTAGCTAAAAAAAAGCGGGGGGGGGGGTTTCCCCCAACCACCGTCCCGGATACATCACTGTTTGATGTATGGTCACAATTGGTCTATTAAAATATGCGTTGAAAGGACAAGTGCATGTAACAGCTGCGAGTCCCGATTTTATATTGGATTAAGAAAATAAAACAGGGACTCACACACAATGATTTAGTGTTCTAAAACTCTTAATCATGCCGCTGTACCTTTTGGTTGATATAAAAGACTGGACCTGGTTAAATTAAATAGCAAAACGCTTCTGGGCAGTTTATTTTCCTTCAGACTCATAATATGAACGAGAAATTTTAGAATGCATCTGTCATACCATGGATACAATTGTACAACTGATACATCAGCTATTGAAATTGTTATGGATCAGCTTAATCTGTTGAATTGTGACACCATAGAACAAAATCTAGGCACGGAACAACATCTTTCGTTTCTGAGTCGTCAGTATGGAACACTTAATAAGATCTTTACCATCTATTCTGCTGGATTTGACAAGATAATCAAGATTGAATGGCTTGCCCTTTTTGGAGCTAGTGACCTATTCCTGCATCGATGTTACACCTGTAACCAAACTTCTTCGACAGAAGACAAAATCGTCAACGTACTCCCAGGTAGATTCATCATGTGAAATTTTTGGAAGATGGTTCATCGATTACTATTAGCACAGCGATTTCAATAGGCTGTCAACTCCAGAAAAAAAGCTAGTTTTGGAATGAATTTACTGTTATTCCCACTTTCCCATCACATCTCTTCGCCATAGTAACGGGATCAAAATCTGGATGACCCTATTATCTTTTTACATTCCGCCACAATGGTTTCATTTGCAACATCAAGATTTTTTAGGAAACATGAAACTGGCGAGAAACGACAAATAACGGTGGAAAAAGAACCATTCACCGTCCTTATTATCAGTTAACTATTCCTTGAATTCACCTTTTGTTTATCTTTGTAACATTTAATAAAAAGAAAAATAAGGATAAAGGAAAGAATAGAACTAAAACTAGAATTTTTACAATCTGGAAACTAATCTGATGAAATAAGATCTTCACACAGTGGAGAAAAAATGATAAGCGGCAGGTAATACCTGAATGAACTTTTTTCTGATATCAAATAAAAGGTCTGCCCTTAAAGCTATCATTTTCAAAATAACATTTGAACAATTCTGTGTTTTAACAAAACTTATGACAACAGTAAAGATCTCTCAACGTTTCCGAAATTTAAAAGCTGATAAAAGTGAGTATGAAAATATGGAACATAACCACAACGTACCGTAGTATAGTGATGTCATATTCAATGTATGTTGAAATCAACGAAAAATTTATTTGAAATATTCCAGCTGGATGTGAGACGAGTCGCTCACTGAGTGCAACTTCCACACATCACCGGGCAGTTTTTGCGGATAACAGGCACACGATCACACAAAGGAGCCATTCGTCTGCTACACCATCGAGAAACATCCACGCAAGGCGCTGCTCACAAAAACAGGAAAAAAAATCTATATTTACCCTATTTTGTCAAATCTTTCATATCGTTATCTTCTCAAAGATCTTCGCTGAAAGCGACATTTACCATGTCCTAGACATTTAAAATGGCACTTTGAAGTTATAATGTTATAGATCTACGTTATAGATCTACGTTCTAGATCTGCGATACAGAAAGAGGAAACTGTGGCTACTGAAGTTAACTTTCGGTTTTCAGAAAAAATACATTGAAGAAATATTGAAAAACATGTTGAAAAATTAACTTGTACAAAGTTATCAAAAGCGTTTGGGTTCAAAATATGAGATACATTTTGAAATGGCTTGGCCTTGATGTCGTGGGCAATAATTTTCTTTTCGAAAAAACAAACAAGCCGATATTGTATGAGATATGGAGGCTCCACTCAGCCCAATATATTAGCTTCAATCTACAGTACCGCCCCTAGATTGCTAATTTTAAACACCTTACCCGAGCAATCCGGTGGTCTATATCCTACAGGACAGGTGCAGCTACAGATCGCAGGATCCAGAGTTCCTCCATTGTAACAAGACAGGTTGCACTCTAATGTAACCCCGAACGAAAATGTTATTACTGAGACAGAAAAGGTATTGTACCAGTAAAACGAATTTCAGCGAATGGCCAACTTTGCCTGACGTTAGAGGTCTTCTGTTACTTCCTTGGAAGGCTGCTCCCAAGCTGATCACCACAAAGAAACGCGCCCCTCTTCACTTTATACCAAAACACTTTAAGAAAGACACCCTAACCTCTTGAAACGGTTGTTTTGTTATGAAATTGCCAACTGAGACTCTCATTATGCAATACCAATGCCTTTAAATAAGGTGATAACCTTGTAAGATAGTTTGTTACAAAATATTGAATTTTACCTTGTTTATTTCAAAACATTAGTCCTCTTCCAGAAGTAATTTTACCTTCACACGCGAGTCCGCTCCAAGGGAATGGGCAGTAGCAACGACACATACCGTATTGCAACTCGTACCCAGGAACCTTCGAGAAAGTGCCGTTGTTTTCACATTTGCTTCCAGAGAGATCACATGCTGTAGAGTTTCATGGAATATAATCAATTATTTGAACATTATCGATGACTTGGTACATATCAAAAACCTGAACAGTAGCCTTATTATGGGGTTTTCAGCAGTGCACGTGAAAAGTATTACTCTGCAGCAAGAAAACAAACTCACAGGCTTTTACCCCAGCGTTTCCCCACTTCACGCAGAACTGACCTGGTATTTGATAGCTGACCCAAAGACTGTCAACACACTGCCACCATTTTGCAAACGAAATGTAACTCTCATATATTTATTGGCTACAGCTCCCGCGATAGCGCTGATTTTATGTATCGTGTATTATACCTACCACATTCAAAGCAATATCTCGGGCAGTAATCAGCATCCAACGCAAGAGGTGGCCGCTCGTATCCTTGCCAGCATTTGCTTTCATTTACCGAACATTTCTCTGCCGTATCAAATTGAGCCAAGTCAAATCAATTCATTTATCAAATTAAGCCAAATAAAACAGACGCACTTATCAAATTGAGCCAAGTGAAATTAATTCAATTATCAAATTGAGCCAACTTAATTCCTTTCAAATCATGGGAACTGTTGTGCGTCTTTCATAGGATGAATAATAATGTCGACCACAGCTGTATCGTTTTACACTACACGGGAATCCTCTGAACAAGATCATTCGGTGAAATAAGATTTTGCATTTGGCGAAACTGCTTTCAAGATATTCGGCCAAAAATTTGAAAGTACTTTGAAAAAATCCACTGGCATACTTTAATAGCATTCCTTACCCTCACAGATGTCACCTTTGTATCCAGATGCACAGTGGCAGTCACAGGTGTGGACGTCTAAAAGTCCGGTAGAGTTGCAGGTGGAACTCATGTTACACGCTAACAAAATTGAACGGGAACATAATATGCTTTTAACATAGGTTTACCAATGATTCCACATGCTTGGCTTGTGCCAATATGGCTCGAATTTCACCCATATAATACTCTTTTTCATTAATGGCTTTGTTCTTCAAAGAACGTGTTGTGTATATCAAGAAATGACGATAGACTCACCGGTGAGTAAACGTTTAAGCCATTTGCATTAGAAATTGGTCTATTTTTCAATCGTCTATTATACCGGTATGTCGCATTCCTTCTTAACCAATGCTACTCCATGAAAGAGAGAATCTTAAATGACACAAAACTACAAAGCAATATTTAAAGAAGTCAATTAAAATTGTATATTTTGTAAACAAACAAGTTTTTCTATTCGAGAAACGCCAAAATTCTTGTGACACACAGTGCACGCTTTTGCCACAGCGCGTGCCCATGCAAAATTTACACATTAATACAAATTTCCCGAGTAAAATTTGTCGGTTTTTCCCTTTGTGTTTAATGTTATATCTATGGAAGTCAAATTTGTTTCTTCGTAAAAACAGAATATGCAGTTTTCTTGAATTTTGTCCCAAGGAGATCATCGTAATTTCGCTGATTTCAGTAGATTTGGTAAAAAACTATTACACAAAGTTGTAGGTATCGCAATGCCTAGTTAAGTTTGCCCCCCAAAAAGGCAAAACAGAAATTTGAAAACAAAAAACATTTCAGGCCAACTTGCCTCCTCGTGAAAACGCAAACGACATGTGTTTGTGATTTCTTAAATTACATTTCTTAATGACAATAAAATAAAAAATAATCGTTTGTTTATTCCCCAATATCCACTTTTTAGACAAAGTGAAGCCTGCCTTTTCCACAGACCATCTGGCACTGGCGTGTATGATAATGTATGATACAACATGTGATTCAAACCATACTATATAGATTTTGAAGGGGGAGGCCGGATGTTCTACTTGTTATGAAAGTGCAAAACAGAACCAGCTTTCTTTAAGCATAGCCTTTTTCTGGTCTTTCCCATCATTTTGTAAGCCTTGAATTTCGCGTTTACTAATTTTACGACGGGCATTTCCTTGGGCGGCCGAAAGCGTTATAGCATGTATGGTAACATTACAAAATAAGAGACGTTTAAAACCCATTAAGAAACTTCTTCGCGTCACTTGCTGCAAATGAAAACACTGTATTCATACCAGGAAAATTCTTACCGTCATACCTACAGCTTCTACCGTCATCCATTAGGAGGTAGTTGTTCATGCAATTGCACCTGTATCCGCCTACTGTATTAGTGCAGTTGTGCTCACATGAATCGATCTCTTTTTCGCACTCATCTACATCTTAACAAAGCATTAAAAGATACAAAACAAAAATATAAACAACAGATAATATAAAACGCAGCTTTATTCTTTACATTTGGTGAAAAAGAGAACAAATATGCAAAATCTATCTTTCTGGAATATTTTGAATCAAGACGACATTTGTGATGACATTCAATAGGGATTTTGTTTCTGATATTGTCAAATCGTCGGAAATAATGGGTTTATTAAGTTTACTGTTAACAGTACTAAAATCACATGCCTCTTGGCCTCATTCCATGAAGACTCACCTTCGCATGCGTTGCTGCTATAATTGTATATGAACCCTGTGGCTGTACATTTGCATGTACATGACAGAAAATTTGGAACACCTCCTGCTCCACACGTTACATCACAGACTGTCGTAACTGCTGCCGCAGTAGTTGATTCTGGTGGAAGTTGAGATGAAGGCTGAACTGTAGGTTTCTCTGACGTTAACAAAGGGGTGGTCGAATGTGTTGTCGATTCAGTGATCATTGTTTCAGTTGTGAAGGGCTTCGTCGTCGGTGGCTCAGTCTTCAACTTAGAACTGGCTACTCGTGTTGTTGATGCCTCAGCAGTTGTCTGTCGCTCAGTTGTGGACTCAATAGCGGTTATACCTGTCGTCGATAGCTCAGCAATCGTTGACAGCTCGATTGCTGTCTTGAAACTGGTTCTTTGTGATGATGAAGTCGGTGGCAACTGAGTTGTCGAATTAACAATGGTTTCTTGTGCTGTTGATGCCTCGGATGTCTCCAGTAGATCAGTTGTTGACTCAGTAGTGGTGAATTGAGTTGTAGAAGGCTCATCCGTTTTTGGCAGTTCTTTTGTGGACTTTAAAGTACTTAATTCTGTTGTCGACTTAGCAGTGGTTAATAGTGTTATAAAGGTAGCAGATGTTGATGGCACAGTTGTCGATTTATCAGTGGTTTCTTGCCTTGTTGGCTCAGCTGTTGTTCTAGGTTTAGTTGACTCAACAGTTGTAAATTCTGTTGTCGATGGTTCAGTAGTTGACAATGGTTCAGTTGTGGACTTAGAAGTAATTAACCGTGAAGATGACTGCACTTTAGTGACAGTTAACTCAGTCGTAGATTCAGCAATGGTTACCGTTGCTTTCATCGTCTGCTTAGTTAATGGTTCAGAAGTCGTTGGTGGTGTTGAACGTCTAGCAGTCCACGATGGCTCAGTTGTAGATTCAGCAGTAGTTAATCCTGTTGTTGATGT